GATCCTGCATGCATAGAAACTGTTCGCCATAGTTTTTTTTCTGAGTCGCGTGGTCCTCTGAATTTAAACGCGTCCACCTGCTAAGTATCCTAAAAGGTTCCACCCTACATGCAGATAAGAAGCACATTTGCGAAGGAACTATGCCATGATACATTGATTTTCCTTTTATTTTCGAAATAATTACCCTAAAATTCGAAGGAGGACTCAAAATGATACTAATGTAGAAAAACACCAAATTAAGATGTAATAATGAATCTAAAAGGAGCAAGATGGTTAAGATTTAAAAAAAATTATGGTGGATCTTGAACGACTAACTTGAAAGATTGACTGAGGCTACGTTTTTATAGATCCGTAATCCTAACTAGCTCCTATGACAAGGATCCCCGGCTAGTGCAACTACAGGGAGTCCCCTCATGTCTTAATCTTAATCAGTGTATTAATTTATGCGTCTTCCACATCTGAAGCCTGACAGAGACGTTAAGCCTACGCATAGTTAATAGAGGAAAATGGTTATGAAGCCCGGCAAACTTCAAAGGAGCAAACAAAGAGGCCAAGATTTATGTTGGAAGGTCCATGACCGTGCACATCTTTTGTTTAATTTTGCGCTCATGCACTATGCATGAATTACGTAATCGCAACGTTTCTATTGGTTAGTTGCTTGAGCACACGTAACCACCTATTGTATTTTGTCAGGTTTTGTGCACGGTCAACCCCAAAATAGCGAACAAAAATATACAACAAAGAACTTTGCCGGGCTTCATAACCATTTCCCTCTATTAACTATGGCCAGGGCCTACGCGATTACTTGAGACCGAAAGGTAGAATGCGAAAGGAATAGCGTTTATTTACGCCGTGAGATATCAACAGTGACTTGCTAAAGACAAACAGGAAAGTGCAAGTGATAATAATACAAATTATGAAATCATTTTCTAGCTGTGGCAGACTGTCAGTGAATGCTCAAGTTAAATTACTAATGTATTCAGTTCACCGAATATAACGAGTGTAACTGACTTTAAAGGTGGCCAATATCTTGTCACATTATTTCATCAGCTTTGAAATAAGCTTATATAAAAACGGTATATTTAAAATATAAATTGATGGAAAAGAAATAGACCATATATATACATTCGAGCGATCGCCCGGTTTTCTTTTTGCCCCACTTTGAATTAGTAAATTAATTTTGAAAACTGAGGAGGAATACATAGTAATTTTTGTGTGTGTTTGTTTTCCTTGCATTTCGACAGCACGTCTTTTGGCCATTGTGGCGAATGTCACAAACGAACTCTTTAAAGAAAAAATACAATTTTTATTATTCGAATTAACGACAATAGTGTAAATGTGAGCGTAGAAGAAATACAAAATTTTGAAAGAGACATGTAATACTTTTTTTAATCAAAGATATACGACAGCAACCCTATCCTGACACTCTCAGCCGATTGATAGCTGCCAAGTGTCTTGCGCCGACGAATGATTAACTGCTACTCCTAGGAACTGCCTTTAGCTCAAGTAAAGTAATAACCAGAATGACTCAACATGTGTGTTGGTACCATTCGTTGGGCAAAAATACTGAAAATATCAGGACTCGTCAGTGGATCCTGCATGGTTTTCTCGTTTTAATAAAAATAATAATCGTGACTAGCCGATTCCAAACTATAATTCCTTTTCACTAATATGCCGAATACGCATGTGTCACGTCAGTTTATAACATGCACCTGTTGTTAAACATTCTAAAATTTTCTTTCATATAAAGCTGCGCCGTGCTGCATCAATATTTCTTTTGGATTATTTTTCACCCATTTTCCCTCGAATATTGGAAATCTTTGTGACCAAAATATGTTTAGAGAAGGCGGTAAAGGGGACTATTTTTGATAATTTTTTTTAAGGGTGCGAAAAACCGTTTATAGTATAATGATAACTTGGTACCTTGCAAAACTATATATAACGATGACGTAATCGTTTGATTGTTTAACAACAGTCTTTCCTGCTACGTGGTAACACAGTGGAATCTTACTATAGTCCGGGAAACAAGTTCCATTGTTCAGGGAATTAATCGTCGTTGACTGAAGAATGAAGAAGAAAGAGAATAGGGTGTTAACAGGTGTTTGAGACGGATTCTGAGAGTGAGATGGTCAGAGGCCATCTCAAATGAAGAACTGTACAGGAGCTCAGGAGTTCCCGCAGTACTAGCGGCAAGGAAGTAAAGAAGAGAAGATGACAATGGATTGGTCACGTTTTGAGGATGCAGCCCAATGACGACCCTAGAAAAGCATTGAAGTGACTTCCAATGAGGAGGAGAAGTGTAGGTAGACCAAGAACAACTTGGGGTAGAATGACAGAGAAGGAAAGGAGCTGGCGTGGAAGAGGTGAGAGGAGGCCCGCCAAGTGGCTGTCAACCAAGAGGATTGGAGGAAAATCGCTGAAGCGCTGTGTGCCACCTAGGCCTTGATAAGATAGATGATGATGATGGTGATGGTGATGGTGATGGTGATGGTGATGGGGATGGTGGTGGTGGTGGTGGTGGTGGTGATGAACTAGAGTTCTCGCTGTTGGTAGTGTACTGTATATAGCAAAGTTTATTGAAACGCAACTAAATGAGCCTGGAAACGTTCTTAAAATTTTAGTACGTTAACAGGAAACACTTTCAACTTTGTGGTTTTATTCAGTGGATGCCGTTACAAGACCTTACAACCACAAGACAACCGAGACAACAGAGGAGAGTCTGTGTGGTCTTTTCTTGTGCAAATACGTTGCAAGATTTATACAAGCTCTTCGATCGTTGTTTTCTGCTTTTCCAGCTTAGATCGGGCTGCAGTCCTGTCAGTTGATAGTCAGTTGCTTCGATCGGGTTAGAGTACTCACTGTTGGTAGTGTACGAAGTAAAGTAAAGACTAAATTATTTTAGATAGGCTGGGGTTTGATTATATAATTATATTAATATATTATATAAGCATCTAATTAATTAGCCTGCGTAGCAGAAAGTGATATTCTTCTTATAGCCGAATTGGCGGCTTCCACTTGCATCCCAAGAAAAATGGAATTAAATATAAAATAAGCATTTGTTGACGCGTAGTGTAAACAACTTCGGAACTGATTCCCGCAGCAAAAGATCATATTTCCGATTCTAATTATCTTAATTTTATTCTTTTAAAATCAAAAACATTAAAATTACCATTGGTAAAGACTACCGCAATCCGGTAAACATAATGTTGTAAACGTACACTTCTAAACATGTTATTCAAGGTTTAATTATTACAGTGGAACCTTCATTAAGGGGACACCCTCGGGACAAGGAGAAGTGTCCCCTTAATGGAGGTGTCCCCTGAATGGAGGTTGGGCGGGTGTTGTTAATAATAATAAATATTAATCACCTTAACAAAATGAAAAAAATGCCTGTTTACTTGACTTAGAATGCAGCCATTTAATTAAGCGGCAATCAAATGCATGATGTTAACTTGCAACAGCAACCTTGGACTGTTTAAATTGCGATTTGCAATATTACTATGAACTGCACTCTTCTTGAACAATAACGAACTGCTGAAATACACTTGAGATTGATCAATAATAATAGTCTTGTAGCAGATTATTTGTCCCCTTAATGGAGGTTGAAATAGCATTCGAGACCCTCAAAAGCTGTATCCGTCCCCTTACAGAGGTTTCCCTTTAATAGAGGTGGTAAATACAAAGATTATTTGAGCGTTTTTTCGGGACCAGAAGAAGTGTCCCCTTAATGGAGGTGTCCCAAAGTAGAGCTTCCACTGTAGTCTATTACAGCAACATCTTGAATGAAATGGTCACACTACACATCTCTGCGGTTTGGCCTGAACCTTACGTCTTACAACCTGGGTTTAAAGCAACCTTCGTGTAGCAGTCCCTCGTTTTTACAGGGATAGTCGAGTGGGAGAGCACGCGAGCGCGCGCTTAAATCACCTCGAGGAGACACGACGATTTTCCCGCGCGCTCTCCCACTCGACTATCCCTGAGAAAATGAAGGACTGCTCGTAGTCTAATGTGAGCCTACTCAATTGCACATCGTAAACCTGTAGTTTTTATGATCTTCTTAGTGATATATAAATCATTATGGTTTTTCCTTGTTGAGATTTAAAAAAGTGTTTCGTTTTTTCTAATACTTTTACCTACCTGTGTTTTATACACAGTCACTGAATTACGTTTCGCCGCTTGACTGAGCGAAATTTAATACTCGCTAGACGCTGGAGATGAACAATTTGTGTTTACTTTTCAAAACTACAAATAGAGTTTTCGGCCAGAGTAAATATTTTTCAACTTTTTGCCAAAGTGTCGCTTATATTAAAACACTCTCCTTCACGTCACGCAACGTGCAAATCGTTTGGTACATGTATTCGAAACTTTTCTTGTGGCGCGTTGTAAAACTTATTTTTGCAAACTATTTGTCCTTCTATTATATATTTACAATATTTTCCACTACTTTACACACGAAGAATACTTATCTGTCATACACGAATGCGTGATTGACAGCTAAAAAAATGGCCTCATTTATATTCCCCGTGCGTCGTGTTTCTGAATTTCAATATGGGTGCGAATTTTCTCTGAATTAGCTTCAACTGATTGTAATTTATGACTATATTGAGGGTTTATTGAGAGCATTCCAGGCGAAGTTATTAACGGATAGGGTATTTTAAAAGATTGTAGTAAGCGACAACTCTTTTTGACTTTCTGGAGTAAAAAAATACATCTCTGAAATTTACTGATGCGAGACCTCGACAAACGTAGAGCAAAGCAGAAAGCGACCTGAAAACGACGAGATTCGTTGAGCTAGAGAGTGCATTAGAGTTTCAGGCCAAACGAGAGCGAGAGTTTGAACTCTCAGCAACTCTCATCCTCGTTTGACACGGGCTTTTACATTTTAATAACATAGAGTAAGTTAAAAATAATTAAAATCGCTTCCGGCTAATAATTATATAACTGAAATGAATATGATCATCGCAGTTGTGAATGCAATTTAAGCAATTGCAATTTTAAGCTGGCTTCAACGGGATCCATGACCTCCGCGTTACTAGTACGTTGCTCTACCAACTGAGCTATGAAGCCACACGTTGGGAGCAGTATAATTATATAACTATTTGGGTTCATGTACATCAAAAACGAAAAACCAACCTATTATAAACTAGTAAACTTTAGGAGTTACAGTCGAATCTCCACAAACGGACACCTCTCGATCGTAAGCGGACACTGGGTCATGTTCCCAGCTACATACAAACACTACATTTTTAACCACTATAAGCGGACACTTCTCTTAAGCGGACACTTTTTCTGGTCCTGAGGGTGTCCGCTTACGGGAAGTTCGACTGTATTACATTTATAATATCAAACGAGTTTGCAAAAATTGCGTGTCGAGGGCATGCATTTATGCATTTTACAATCTATTTCCAAATGAATCTGTTGGTTCGTTCGCCCTTGGCGGTTTTGGCGCGGGCATTGGGTTTCTTGGTACATTAACCTCTCTGCGGTTTTGCTGCGGTTGTCCTTCGTTCCCGTTTCTCCTAACACACGTGCAAGCTACTACGTGAAACTTCCTATTAAGGCCAATATACAACCATGGGTTGATAGCGCTGTTGCTATGACTCAACCAGAAGCAAAAGTACATTACAGGGTATGAAAACGAAGAATATCCTTTTGCCGCCATCTCTAACTGATACACGTTGGTAGGAAGCCAACACAGTGCAAACACAGCCACAATAATGACAAGCATTCGAACCAATTCCCGTTTTCTCTGCTGCTCTTGTTGCTGATTTCGCCCCGCTTCGTTATTCCCAGGTACTTCGTGGGACCACAGCTTGCGAGCAATGGCGCCGTACAGGACAGAAATAACAATCAATGGTAGCAGATAGTTTACGAGAAAAAAGAAAACCCAAAACTTCTCGGTCACCACATCGTAATCGTAAGTGCAAACGTAAGTGGAATTGTGCTCGCCCAGTGTCGTCATAGCGGGCGAGGCGGACATTAAAGCCAGTGATAAGATCCATATGACAGGAGAAATGATCTTCGCTTTCCTGAACCATCTGATGTTACTTAAAGGGTAGAAAACAGCACAATAGCGATCAATCGCTATGACTGTAAGGCTCAGAATGGACGCGGTTATAGCCGTGAACGCGGCATAGTAGAAAAACTTACAAGTGACATCCCCGGCGCCCTTTGCAGAACCTGTTATCCATACCCTGTTCAGAAAGGATATAGTTATGGGCATTTGAAGTAGTGTAGTCAGCAGGTCTGCACAGCCATGTTGACGAACATGAAGCTGGTCAGCGCTCTCGTCTCGGGTTTTCTCCACACGATGCAGATTAAGAGCGAGTTTCCCACTAAAGCGACGAGCATCGATATCACAAATGCCACGGTGAAGCCTATTTCAGTAGGCCCCAGCCTCCATCTTGTTCTTGTGTATTTTTAAAAATCTATGAATCAGATAAATTTAGGTTAATTTCGCTCCCAGTTTTTCAAGAGGTTCTTCCTCTCGTTTTTTCTTTCGCTTCTCGGCGCTCGACGAACTTCATGGTTTCGATCGACGGGGAGGTCGATGTTGCGCTATCTTGAATAGTTTGGCGAGCGAAACCTGGGGAGAGGACAAATCGTCGACCACTCTCGCTCGCCAAATTATTCAAATGGCGGTTCCACGTTCGTCTGGGACTGTACTGGTACTGTCGTAGTCCAATATTCAACGTAATGCAAAAACATGATCTAATTGAGTGTGAAAGTTTCAAGGAAGGTCAGATAACGTTCTGCGACGTGTTAAGAATAAAGATAATAAAAACGAAAGCTTGCTTGTCAAAAATACGTTTCTCAGCCTCGTCCCCAAGAGGTTGATACGTTTCTGTAAAACACGCGTACGTGCACCGCTGGTCGCAGTTTATAAGCCAGTCGAATCTATTTTTGTATTTAAATAATTTTGCCATTTCAAAACTTTCATAACAGAACTGTTTGCTTTTGTTGTTTGCGCTGTTTTAATCTTGTCTACTGACAATCTAAATAGTATGTGACATGAATACAAAGAAAACCAAACACAGCTGTCTCGAATGTTTTGCTTTGGTCGTCTGTACCATATGAAAATGCGACAAAAACTACAAATAAAACATCCTTGTGCCAATTCGGGAAAATTTAAAAAGTGTCGCCGACTCTTCTAACTGATCGCGAATAACCGATCAATAGACCTTTCTCCAAAATGGCCGCCGCAAATTCAAAATGATTAAAATTAAACTGAGCGGAAAATCAATACCAGCATCTGAAAGACCACCTCTTGTTTAGTGATTATACGAAGTTTCGTTAGGTTAGGTTCTACCTGAGTTGAGAAAACGGAAGTTGAAAACTGGAAAATTTAGAGACGTTTGTATGACTGGGTCGGGTATGACGTATACCCCTAGTCAGACATACAAACGTCTCTAACTTTTCCAGTTTTCAACTTCCGTTTTCTCAACTCAGATAGAACCTAACCTGACGAAACTTTGTACAATCACTAAACAAGAGGTGGTCTTTCAGGTGCTGGTATTGATTTTCCGCTCAACTTAATATGAATTTTCGGCGGCCATTTAGGAGAAAGGTCTATTGTCGACGCGAAAGTTTCAAGTAAAATTATAGGTACCACTACCACTAGACTAGGGTTCACTCGGAAACCTTAGGAAAAACGCTCACCTCAATCCTCTCTCCGTTATTGCACTAAGTTCGTTAGCATGGCTTGTCTCTGTGTTTTGCTTCTCGACAACGTGAAGATTTTCGTCTTCATCAAGGCATGGATTCGAACATGAGCTAATATGGACCCGAACACGCGTGCAGCATTGGATATAGCTAAAGTCAAAGTTTACGGAAATACGTAAGGCAGATAACATGAATTGACAGTAGAAAAATAAAACTGGAAATCAGTACCACCCAAAGGATGTTACTGACAAAGCGTATGCTCGCGAGTGAATAATATCAATAATTATAAGCTATGGCGTGCAACGAAAATACGTGAAGCCGAAGGAAAAAATCCATCATACCTCACTGAAGTTTTATACGGCGAGGGATTTTTCAGGTCCGCTCTTGTGTGCTTCCTGAATAGAAACAGCCGGGAAACAGATCTGAACAGATAAAGCTTGTGCAAACTTTAAAACTGGGAGTTGTTTCAAATCATCTCATTTGAATTTGTTATCCCATGATGAATTGTCTTCCATGAATAATTGGACGAAAAGCCATCTGCTAAATATATTTTTCTCATTACAGCTAGCTTCTAGAAAAGTCATTGCATTTGAACATGTTGTCATGCATACATGCAATATTCAAATTTCTCTGCTAAACTGCTCATCGCGTTTCGTTTATTGCCAGCGATATTTCATATTTTAATCATTTTTTAATGTTTTACATAAAGGTCTAAAAGGCGTACAACGTTTGCACTAGCACAAAAAAGCTTTAAAATAATCTTATCTATTTTAGTCTTAATTTACATGACCAATTTATATTTTTGATTGACAACTAGCTGTAAGTTGATTGACAGCTAGCTGTCATTACTGGCAACAGAACGTTATCTAAGGAATGTCTAATTAAGGAATAGCCCCAAGTTGTCGTAAAAAACGATCAAATTTGGCCAAAGCATTTTGCATTCACCCAACTTTTTGCATGCGTAAAATTATTCATATTAAATCGAAAATTTCACTTTATTTGTTTTTACGAATCAATGAATTCAGTACTGAAATATAGCAGTGGTTATTGTACACACATTCTCAAACTGTGCAATTCTAAATTCACTCAGAATTCTTGCAGAATGTGAAAGTATAGCATTTCTTGGTTTCAAAACCTAATGTACGTCTGAATTAAGAAAGTTGCTAATTATTTGTGTAGGTAATAGCATGGGCTACACCACACAAAAGTGTTTTGCTTTCCATATTCGTAGGTTTTTGTACACTCATTGAAATGTCCACTTTTGTCCACACGCTAAACGATAGAAATGTCCGCCATCTTGTTTTTTTTTAGAGTCAATTGTTACACTTGCCATATTTGGAAGAGATTGGTATGACCACCCAAAATGTCAAGCCTAGGTGGTCGCTTATGGGAGGTGGTCGTGTACGAGAGGTCAGTCCACAGGACCACAGGGGGTCTACATTTTGAGTCATAGCCTGAAGTAGTTTCAGAGGCTTAATCCACGGGCAAATGCATCCATAAACCACAAATACTGTGAAATATCCTGAACACATTTATTACATTAGTTCGAAACTTCTGCTGAAAATACCAATCAAGTTCATGACGTTACAATTATAACCCACAGGAAATCAAAACATCTACATAAGATTTTTAGCCGGCAGAGCTATGGCAATTACTTTGAATTATGTATAAGAAATAAGATAATTGATTTATATAATCGTAAGTATTTTCTATTTTCGTAAACCACTCTTGCGATCGTTGCGACTGCGATCGTAGCGATCATATGGAAACCAGTCTTAATTAAGCGTTCTTTGTCTATATATATTATTAAAACGAAAATGAACTACTGTAGTTCTTCTTTGCCATGTAATATGGTCGGCATGAACTTGCACAAACCCTTCTATTTCTATATGTACGTTTAACCTATTCAGTCGAAATATACTGAGTATACTGCTCTTAGCTTAATGATATATTCTTATTCGTAGATAGACTATGCCATACCTAATATCAATTGACTTGGTTTTAGATAATTAAAGTAATTGTAATACTTATCTATAGCTATGCGATTCATTTAATTCAGGACCTTCCTGAAAACCACCCCGATGAGGAGCCTCCTGTTAAAATATTGTTTAGCTTACGAGAGAAGCAGCCTCGTTCACTGCCCATGTTTTCAGTATTTCAATAAGTAACGTGCGAGAATCGGAGCTATTTTATAATTAACAATTAGACTACGAGCTTAAGTTTTCTACCAGTGAATAGTCAAAGTGGCGCTGATTGTTTGTCCAAAAATGACACAAAAATTAAATTATATGCAATTTTCCAACATAAATATAAAGGGATGCCGCCTTTTAAAGGAGCTATGTCGCGATATATTTAGTCATTTTTTCCGATGTACAAAATCACCTTCAAATCGAGGAAAGCCATAA